TTGGAGTTATTCATATTGTCTTCCATTATTTATAGTGTCATATCGTAATCATTCAGAAGTAGATTATGTATCAAAAGAAAATTATCAAAACTAATTGATTCAATTTTAAGTTTAAAAGAAAAATTAAAAACAAAACAAAACCCTAAAAATTGAACTTTTTTATTTGATGAGTTTATCTCCCTATCCAACAGCTTCAAAATCAAATAAAATTAAATCGTCAAAAATATCCCCTTCTCCTAAATTGCCTGAAAGTAAAATTGAAGTAAAAAAAGGAACTTTTGGATATGAAAAAATTGGAGGAATTGATAAAATAATAACAGAAGTGAGAGAGTTAGTTGAATACCCCTTATTACATCCAGAAATTTATAAACATCTTGGAATTGAACCTCCTCGTGGTATTTTATTACATGGACCTCCTGGATGTGGTAAAACATTATTAGCAAAAGCTATTGCAGGAGAGGTAGGTGTTGCTTTTATTGAAGTGTCAGCAACAGAACTTGTTGGAGGAATGTCTGGTGAAAGTGAAAGTAAAATACGTGACTTGTTTCAATTAGCATCACAACGAGCACCTGCTTTATTATTTATTGATGAAATTGATGCTATTACACCAAAAAGAGATAATGCACAACGTGAAATGGAAAGAAGAATTGTTGCCCAATTATTGTCTTCATTAGACAAACTTAGTGAAGCAGATAAACCAGTTATTGTAATTGGTGCTACAAATCGTCCTGATTCATTGGATCCAGCATTACGTCGGGCTGGTAGATTTGACAGAGAAATTGCTTTGGGTATTCCAAGTGAATCACAAAGAAGACAAATATTAGATAAAATGATGGTTAATTTAAAAATTGATTCTGCTGTGAATATTGAAAAACTAGCAAAAGGAACTGCAGGTTATGTTGGTGCTGATATTGTTGCATTAACAAAAGAAGCTGCTATAGCAGCAATTCATCGTATTTTTAGTGGAAAGGCTGGTGCTGATAATCTTAAATCTATTCAACAAGATGTTGAAGAAGAAAATCAAAACGATTTAACTGAAAGACAAGCTGTTTGTGACTATTTAAAATCAAGTACTAATACATTTACAGAAACCGAACTTGCTCAGTTAAGTATTACTCAAAGTGATTTTGATCATGCTTTAAATGTTGTTCAACCATCTTCTAAAAGAGAAGGATTTACAACTATTCCTGATGTTACTTGGGATAATATTGGAGGTATGGAAGAAGTTCATAATGAATTAAAAAGACTTGTAGTAGGTGCTGTTCAATATCCATCATTATATAAGAAATTTGGTGTTGATACTCCTGCTGGTATTCTTCTTTACGGACCACCAGGATGTGGAAAAACATATTGTGCGAAAGCATTGGCTAATGAATGTAAAGCTAATTTTATTGCTGTTAAAGGTCCTCAATTACTTAATAAATATGTTGGTGAAGCAGAACGTGCTGTAAGACAATTATTTATGAGAGCAAGAAATAGTGCTCCTTGTGTTATATTTTTTGATGAACTAGATGCACTTGCACCTAAACGAAGTGAAGATTCATCTGGTGTATCAAGAATTGTAAATCAATTATTAACTGAATTAGATGGTATGGATGTAAGAAAAGATGTTTTTGTTGTTGCAGCAACAAACAGACCAGATTGTATTGACCCAGCAATGTTAAGACCTGGAAGACTTGATAGACTTATTTCAGTTGATTTGCCAAATAGAGATGCTCGTGTTGATATCCTCAAAACTATATGTAAACGCCAAAAAGTTCCATTAGCAGACAGTGTCAATTTAGAAAAGATAGCACGATCTGCTCAAGTAGATGGTTTTTCTGGTGCAGACCTTACTGCTTTGGTTAAAGAAGCTTCTGTTAGAGCTCTTGATGAAATTGTAAAAAAAGTTGGATATGAAAATGCACAAAAAGATGGTGGTTTAGTAGAAGAAAGTCATTTTATTGAAGCGTTATCAAAAGTACGTCGTAGCGTAAGTAAAGAAGATGAGTTAGAATATTTAAAGATAAAACAAAGTATTTTATCTCAAAATTGATTGATTTGATTGTTATTTTTGTTAAAGATACATTTAAATAATGTTTTTCTTAGATAAAAAATAATAAAAATAAAAAAAAAATTCAATCAATTTTCTTCCATTCTAATATCACTTTGAATGTGTTTTACTGATCGAGATGCATCATAAAACAATTCATAAACTTTCTGAATATCAACAACGTCAACTTCTTCAGCACCTCTTTTTTTAGCTTTGAGCATAGCTAATGAAATAAGTTGTATTGAATATCTCAAACTTGTTTGTTTAGCAATTTCAGTAAGAGCATCTAATGATGTTGAGTTCATTCTAACTTGTTCTTCTTCAGCCCTAACAGCAAGAATCATTCTAATTTCATCTGAAGTATATTCTTGAGTTTTAACAATGATAAGTCTGTCTAAGAAATCTCCAGGAATACCATGTGGAGATATTTCTTCAGTTCCTCTTATTTTAACATTTCCCCTATTTGTTGCCATAACGATTGTTGGTGTCATTTCTTGTTCAATTGCATTATTTAAGAATGAAAAACACTCTAAATCTAACATATGTACTTCATCAATAAATAATACTCCAGGTAGAATTTCTGCTTTACCAACTCGTATCCATTCTTTTACTTTTTCATCAATTCGATTTCTTATTTCAGCTGATATTTCTCCTGTATCACCCGCAAATAAAGATAATACTCCTCGTGCTTTTGAATTAATAACATCAATTTCATGTAATGTAACTGTATGAACAATAGTTTTCTTTTGTTGTAATTCTCCTTCTGGTGTTGGTACAAATGTTGTCTTAGCATCTGTAACTTCAAAGTCTTTGGACCTTGCTGCAGACCTTCCTAAAACAATAACAGAACCCGATGCTTTATCAATTTGAATCACATCCCCTCCCTTAACATTTTCTTTTACTAAAGCATCAATCATTCTTTCACCTAAATCATAGACTGTTTCCATATCAGTTGTTTTAATTGTTAATTTACCTTTACGTGCACCAGCTGTAGGTCGTTCAATTCTTAACTCTTCAACTTCTCCTTCAATGATTTCAGTTTCTTCTTTAATCCGAAGAGCAACAGACCTTCTAACAGCTTGTGTTAATGCTTCTGCCTTAGACATTGCTAATGAATATACTTCACTACCACTAATTATTGTAAATGGTGTATCTTCTCCTAATGCTTGAGCAAGTCCCATTGCAAGTGCAGTTTTTCCTGTACCTGGTTTTCCAGCAAGAAGAATTGCACGTCCAGAAATTTGTCGAGACTGAACCATACGAAGTACAATTCCCATAGCAGTACGTGCAGCAACTTGACCAACCAGTCCATCAGCTTTATTACTAGCAGTATATTGACCGGTAAGTCCCAATCCATGAATATGACTATGAGCACCAATACGTTCTAATTTTGTGACTTCTTTGACTTCGTTTATAGCAGAAAGGGTTGGTAATGACATTTGAAAAAAACAAAATTTTGTTTTTTCAAGTTCTTTTTTTCTTTTTGTAAAAAACAAAAAAAAAAAAAAGAAAAGAAATTTTTTTTTATTTTTCAGATTTTTTAATGATACTCTTCTTTCCTTTCAACTTTAAAATCATTGGATGAGTGTGAAGTCAGAAACAGTAACCAAACGTACCTTTTCTTTTTCAAGAAGAAAAATGGAACATGCATTTAACCAAGTCGTATTAGATGTAGAAAGTATAAAAACACTTATTAGAAAAAAAGGAATTCCTGAAGATGTTCTTCAAATAAATATTTTTAGAAGTAAAATATGGAAAGTATTTTTTGGGTTTCTTCCAGAAAATACAGCACTATGGATGGATAAAGAAAGAATGTACACTTTACAATATTCCCAATTTCTCAATGACTTTTATTATAATATTAATTTTCCAAAAACTGAAACTTTAATAGTATTACAAAAAGATATTTCACGTATATTTCCAGATAGCACATTCTTCAAGGATGTTTGTTATTTATTTTAGACTATAAAAATAAAGTACTTAATTAATAGGAAGAAAATCTTGAATCAGTTCAAAGAATACTTTTTGTAAATTGCATTTTTAATAAATCAATTAAATACGTTCAAGGAATGCACGAGATGTGTGGTCTTATTTTTTATGTATTTAGTCAATCAGGTCAATCACGTGAAGTGGTTGAAGCAGAAGCATATTTTGGATTTACTACATTAGTTGTTAGATTTAGAGATTGGTTTGATAAAGAGTGTGACAATAAACCAACTGGACTAAAAGAATGTTTTAAGAATATTGATAGTGTATTAAAAATGTACGACTTTGAATTATGGAAATATTTAAATAAATTAAATGTAGATGTAACTTGCTATAGTTTTAGATGGGTAAGTATGTTATTTATTGATGACTTTTCTATTAAAGATGTTATTAAAATATGGGATGTATTACTTAGTGGATTTGATTCACAACAAATTTTTATTGATATTATTTGTATTACTATCGCCATTATTGAGTTACATCGTGAATTCTTATTAAAATCAGATTCTAACACTTGTTTACATCATTTAATGAATATTAAAAATACAGCTGATTCTGTATTAGAACGTGCATGTAAAGTAAGAAAATTTGTTGAATCTAAACATGTGTTTCATTGAATGTTATAAATACTAAATGATATTTTTTATATTTTTTTATTCTAGGGTTTATTTTAATAATATTTTGCCATAATTTTATAAATACTTCTTTATAGGTCAGATTTGTTTATTATTATTTCTTAATAATTGGTAATGATGATAAAAAGTTTTCAGATTATTAATGAAGACATTTTCAGCCTTGTCTGAGCCATTTTTTATTTACTATAATTATATCAAAAAACATAAATTTAAAAAAATATATTACTTAAAATGATGTTATATTAATAATAATAAACAACTAATTAAATAATAAAGAAAACAAAATTCCAATTAGATTTAGAACAAAATGCAAACTCCTTTCTTCTCTTTTTTCGAAGTATCTTTCTTTCCACTTTTCTTAGAAGATTCTTGCTTAGGCTGTGGTTTTATTCCTTTCATTTCTGCGTATTTACTTAAAATCTCTCCAAAAACTTTTTTAACCATTTCTATATCATGCAAGTCTAATTCATAAAACAATCCTTTATAACTATCTGCAGCTGCTTTAACTGACGTTGTATCAAATTCCTGAACAAGATCTTTTTTAGTCATGATAACACATATAAGATTATCATCATTTACACAGTCTTTATATTGTGGTTGTTCAATATAATGTTCAATAAATTTACAGTCAGTAGGATTTGTTTCAGATCCAATAAAAATATGAATAAGCCCAGAGGTGGCATAAGTAGAGACAGTGGCTTTTAAATCTTTAAAGTTATTTCCAGGTTCATCATAAATACTTCCGTTGAAGCTAATTTTGTCAATAGTAAACGTAAATCTGTCTTGAGTTCTTGATTGTGTTTCTACAAAATCTTCCTGAAATTCACCTCCTCGTACAATATTAGAGAATGTTGTTTTCCCGCTTTGTGAAAGACCAAATAAACATATATTTACGTCAGTCATGAAAATAGTATTCTTATAAATTTTAGTTAATTTTTACTGAGATGTTTTTATAGTAATTTTTATCCTTATTTAATCTTTGAATGGATTTCCAATTTTTATTCCCCTTTTTGTTTTGTTTCTTTCCCGCTTTTTCTGAGTTTTTTCCCTCTCTATTTTGAAAAACAACTTTTTTAATTTCTAAATATTTAAAATAGTTTTATATCTCCCTTTCAATTTTTTTTATTGTTTTGTATAACCTATTCTTTTAATTGTTTTGAAAAAATTCAGTCAACTTATTCGCATTTTATTTGTGGACAATAATTAAAACATTCAACCACTTTTCTAACAGTTGGTATTTCTTCTTCTATCTTTGGAACAGATTCAATATTAAATGGTATTATTGAATCTTTCATCCAATTATACATCACATCACTAAATTTATGTGGATATTCACATAAAATAGCTTCCCAATCAGTTTGCATTCCTTGTGGAATATGTTTACCAATTTGCTTACCTATTGAGGCTAATACAGACATCATAAACACAAACCCTCCTGCTGCAGTTCCACGAGTTAGTGGCATGAAATTATACCAGAAAAACGTGAAAGAAAACATAGCCCGTAAAATTTTCTCTTCTTCATTTTTTTCTCCTTTTCTTGTGAGTATTAATAATGCTAACTTCTTCCAACATGCTTCAAGTTCTTTATCATACAATATCCATCTTGATTTTTTGCATGGCGTTTTAATGGCAAAATCATATCCTACTGGTTCTTTCATTTCAGTAACTAGGTTGGTTCCTTCATAGATAATTCTTTCTCCTGTTTTGGGATCATCAAAATTATCAGATCTACATGGGGTCGTAACTTGGAAATTAGACTCAACAACTCTAAGAATATCTCCTATATTTTTTGCTTCTTTAACCACTTTAACCCATTCTGGTTTTAACTGGACTTGTTTAGGAAGTAGTTCTTGAACTATTTTAAATGCCCGGTCATATTGACAGAAGTACCTAATTACTCTTCCTTGTCCAGTGTACATTGGAGTATGTGATCCAAATCCTTCTTCAAATTGTTCAGGTGTTAATAAATCAATCCAATAGACAGGGTCATTTGGTTCAGATATTTGTCTCCACTTTGTAGATAATTCCATTAAAGTTCTCCATTGTATTTTGTCAAGCAATTTTCTAGCACTTTCTTCATCTAACCCACCCTTAATCCATTCAGGAATAGTTTCTCTTATGTATTGTCCAATATTAATTGCTGCTAATCCTCCCATGAGATATTGAGAAGCATTATGCACAAATCCTTGTGAGTCATACTGCATATACTTACCGATGTTCATTGCAGGAATTAAAATTTTGTCAATAACACTTTGGCTTGGTAAATCTGTTTCACTAACATCTGGAATAGTGTCATCGTATGAAGCTTGTTCTTCATATCTATGTAAGGCAGCAGGAATAAGGTGTTTACAAAATCCTTCTTTAAATAATGGATCAAATGAATCAATATTCCATTCTGTAAAGTTATGGTCTAATAAATGGTGTGTGTATAATGCTACTTCTTTCATATACCAAGCACTATCATCACTTTTAATATCAACTGCCTGATCAAATGAAAGAATAGCTTCTTTAAATTGTCCAGACGCAGATAATGTCACACCATTATAACGATATAAATCAACTTGTTTATCAATTTCTTTTTCTAATCCATATTGTTGATTGTTAACATTTGAAATAGCAATTGCAAATTCTTTTGTTGCTTTAATATGATGTCCAATTTGTTGGAATAATACCCCTCTTAAATAGTGAGCAAAACAATGATTTGGAGCAAGTCTAAATATGATTTTAAATACTTCTTCTGCTTTCTTTGGTTTTCCAGCGTCTTTCAATAATTGGAATAGATTAACATATCCATCAACAAAATCTTGTTTAATTGAAACAGCACGACCAAACGCTTCAGCTGCTTCTTTGAATAATCCCAATGCTGTATTATTTAATCCATAATGATTCCATGCAATGTAATCTCCCTGAGAACGTTTGACACAGACACCAAAGTCATCACGAGCTAATTCATAATTACGTATCATTTGGTAACAAATACCACGTTGTTTATAACAGTCAACATCTTTTTCTCCTCCATATTTTACAGCATCATTCATATCTACAAGAGCTTCATCAATCTTACCTAAGGCAATTAGTGTTTGTCCTCTTCGCTTATGTGCATCGGCATTTGTTGGATCTATTATAACAGCACTACTAAAATCTTCAACTGCCATTTGGTATTGACCAATCATAGCATAAGCAGTTCCACGTGCAATATATCCTCCACATACATTTGGGTGTTTTTGAAGAAATTTTGTTAAATAATTAACTGCTTCTTGTAATTTTCCATTATTGACTAAAAGATATCCAATTGCTAATTCTTGATCAATCTGTGGGTCATTTGTTGCATTAGCAAAATTCTTTGGAACACTTTTTTCATTTTGATCATTCATAGGAGTAATTTCTCCAATAACACGGTTATTATCATCAATTTCTTCAATTTTAAATCCTTTACTTCTTTTAGGACCATAACTTATATTATCATTAGGTAGTGGTTCAGGAATTTTAACTTCAATAGGTTTTTGTTGTTTTGTAGATTGACCTCTTTCTTTTGCCTTTTTGCGTTCTTCAGCCATCACTCTTTTTGCGTCATTTATTCTTTCTTCTAAACTAGTTTCATTATCTTCTGAATAAATGTTATCTTGCTTATTCTTCTTATTAACAGTTTCTGTTTCTTGTTTATAAGTCTTTTGAGTAGTTTCTTGAATTTGAGGTTCTTCTTTACTTTTTATTTTCTTTTTTGAATGGTGGTGGTGATGATGTTTTTCTGGTAAATGGGTTTCTTTTTTAACTGGTATTTCTATCATTCCTTCATTTTCTGATTCCTCATCATCTTTTGACATAAATTGAGGATTTCCTATGTTTAATGTTCCAAAATTTCTGATTTTTAAAATAACAAGTGATCTATCTCGAGAAAGTTTTCTAACCTTTTCAATATCAACCCCATCAAGAACACATTTTCTTTGTTTTGATTTGCTTTTATGTTCCATGTTCGACCTAATAAATAATTAAAGTTCTCTATAATTTGTAGTTCTTTTTTTTTTATTAAATAAAAGGTAAAACTTGGAAAAAAATCAAAAGAGATAAGGAAATAATTTATATAATCTGGTTGAGTATTAACTTGTTCTGAAAAAAATGAAATTTATAACCAAAAAAATATTTAAATTTTCAAGTGGTATTGATTGTTGATAAGTACAATCAATTTTACATAATCAACTAGAGCATAGAACATGTTTTTTTAATGAAATCACTTCATTTTGTTTTGAAAAGAATTAATAAATTATTGTTTGTTTAATAATAACGAAATTACAAGTCATATTTTGTTATTTGAAGCTATTGTTACTTAAAATAATATTAATAAGTTAATGATGTATTACTCTAATAAAATGATGTATAAACCACAATGATATTTTTTATTAAAAAAGCAAAAGGTATTGAATAAAACACTATATAACTTAATTTCAATGAGAGTTTTTTTAATGAATTTAAAAATAAAAGAAGATTTAGTGAAAAAAAACTCAAAGAAAATATAACAACTAAGTGGTAATATTTATTTTGTATTTTATAGTGGAGGTGTCAAGAAAAAAAAAATAAAAAATAGAAAATATAAAAATTTATTTAAAAATAATTATGACTATAACAATGTTACGATATATTTTTACCATAATAAAAATAAGTAAATAATGAAATTATCAAAAACATTAAAAAGAAAGAATAAATTTAAGAATTAAACAAAGGTATTATATAGACATAATAATGTCATTTATTTTATAAATATAAAATATAATTATAAAAATAATTTAATGGAATATTTTAACTCAGTTAATTTAAGTAATTAATTGTTTTATAAAGTATGTTTATTTGAGAATATTTGTGTTAAGGATGAATGAAGAATTTAAAAAAAAATTAAGCAGTTCATACAACGAAAGAATAATAAAAAATTATAGGTTAATTAACAATAATAAAGAGTAATAAATGGTTATGTTTGAGAATAAATATAAGAATGTAAATAATCATATTTTTAAAGGAAGAGTTATTTTGAATTATAAGTGATGAATAGATTATTTGAAATATATCAAGTATTAATAAGATTATAAAAAAACTGACAAATAAGACAATATAGAAATGAATATTGTTAACTCTCTTATGGTTAATTTATTAAATCAGATTCTTTAAACCAAAAATTAAATAAATAGAAAAATAATTATAAATTAATTTAAGTCAAGTAATAAAAACTTTTAAATAAAGTTGATATTGGATTTATTATTTTAATAAAAGTAATTAATTAAGTATTAATAG